CAAGCTATTAGAATGAGCTCAGGAAATGTTACCACACACAGATGAAAATAAAAAGGAATGTACTTTCTGATAAACTAAAAACTCTGCCAGCAGAAGCATGGTGCATGGTCCATAATCTTATGGTGATACAGTTTATTAGTTGGGATTTTAGAAAGTTCTTCAGCTTTCTGTTTTTTTTATATTTCATTCCCTTTTGTGACAGTTTAAGTAGAACCTAAAGAGTAGAGAGGCTAGAATAAGAAGAGAGACTGAAAGAGGAGGAACAGTGTGGGAATGAAGTCCAAAGCCAAGAGAGAAGACAATTTATGTGACTTGTGCTAAGTCTGACCATGCTATTCTTCATGTTTTCTTATTTCCAAGAACAATTAACAAATTCTGAGCTTTAATTTCAAAACGGGGATTCTGACACCTGTTATTATAAATGGTAACAGCAATACAATACATAATTTTTTTTTTAAAGAATAGTTTATTGATTTTTAGCAAGAGGGGAAGGGAGGAGAGAGAAAGAAACACTGATGTAAGAAAGACACATCTGTTAGCTGCCTCCTGCAAGCCCCCTACAGGGGATCAAGCCCAAAATCTGGGCATGTGCCCTGATGGGGAATGGAACCAGAAACCTTTTGTTGCATGGGACTATGCCCAACCAACTGAGCCACAGTGGCCAGGGCAACACCACCTAACTTTTATTGAGCACTTACATGTGTCAGGCACGGTTTTAAGTGTTTACATGGATAAACTCAATTAGTCACCACAACAACCCAATAACATGGGTACTATTATTATCCCTGTTTTATAGAAGAACTGTAAAGAGAGAGGCTATGTGACTTGCCCAAAGCCACAGAGCTAGAAGTGATAAAGTTTGGATTTGAATCCTGAAACTTTGCCTTAGTAGTTCACTGCAGTGGTTTTCCAACTACATTCTGCAGAACCTTTTGGCTCCAGGAATTCTACTTTCAAAATACATTCTGACCATTTAAAAATCACAGTAAAAACACCACAATCAAAACTTTTATATTGGATGTAATGCACCAAAGGGAACCAACACAACTTTTTGCTGCCAGGTTAAGTCACTTTTGTGCAGATCTTAGAATAAAGTTAGTCTTGTCACTTCTGAGGTCTTATATGAACTTCCTGTAAATGTTTCATTGATTTGGAAGGTGTAAATCTGCACTGATTTATTTATTTATTTATTTTAACTCAAGACTAGCTTTGTCTGCTCAGGTAAAAGGAGCATACAAACTCAATCAAACACCAGGTAAAATTCAGGTACATCTTATCACAGTGGAAGAGCAAAAGAGTGAAAAAGGCACATATCCCAGTCATTTTAAGTTCTGTGGGCTTATTGTCTGACATAGTTAAGGTAAGAAACACGGGTTAGTTATGACTTTGAAAAATGTCCTACTGTTTCTATCATCTATTATTCATTCCTCTTTCCAGCTACAGAACATTTAACTGAAGGGTATCTGGAGACAGCAAGGGAAACTGTTAGAAAAAAAAATCATCACCTCCTTCACCCCGCTTTGGCCACACATTCCCACTGTCACACTCTGGACCATGTGTCCACAATCCCCTGCCCTTCCTCTTTGCTGTATCAACCATGCCCAAGCAGGTCTGATTCCACTGGGTCCACTCTTCCATTGACCATATGCTGTCTGCTATTCATTGACCAATCCATTGCTCTTTCCTTTACTCACTTTTACTCTTTACCCAGCTGAGAGTCCATGAGCCATCATTATAAGGATATTCTGACCAATACCCTAAACACCTCTGCTCCACTGTCATTTTGTTCCACGCAGCTGGCAAACACCAGCCCCTAATGAACCTTCTATTGGCCTTCACCACACACTGGTACCAAAGTAGCTGAGCACTCCTAGAGAAGGTCAACAGGCAGATTGGTTATCACACTGTATGTTCATGACCACCGACTTCTATGAGGCTTCCACGATGCTAGACAATCCTACTATGTCACTGGCTGGCATGCTCCTTCTGCAACTATTCACTTACTTCAAACATTTTACTCCAAACCTTGGACTTGTGTCCCTCCCATCTCCACAGCAACACAGCAGAAGACTTAGCCTACTAATCTGAAGGAGCTGTACTCACCCTATCCTTGCTTCCTTTTGAATATAACAGAGGAGACAGATACCCTTCCCCAGCGCTTTGAATGCTGCCCTCTTCCATCTTCTCAGGAATGTTATGCTGTTACTTATCTCTTTCTTCTCCCATACAGATAACAGTTCCCTCTCTCAACTAGAGCTTCCCAAGGATTAGTCTATTTTATACATTGCAATTCCACCTACAACTTCTTTGCAAGCATCTTTTCTGCTAAAGCAGTGAAACCTCTTTGCCCTTAAGTATGTAAAGCCCCAAAGACAGTCTCACAAAAGGAGTCACTGCATAGATAATTAGGATAAAAACAAGAACAGGCCATGAAGTAGGTATCACACATAAAACTGTACAAACTGGTAATGCTGATGTTGCCAACGTTTTCAGAAATAAAGCCCACAGTTTCACCAAATTCTAAACCACTGTGATATCTCAAATGCTTTAAAATTTTAAAAAAATTGACATATAACAATGTATATGTTTAAGGTGTACGATATGTTGATTTCATACATTTATCTACTGCAATAGGATTGCCGCCATAGCATTAGCTAACACCTCTATCACCTCACGTGATAATATATACTATGCTTTACAATCTAGAGCTCTGCTAAAACTGTAGAGACAAGAAGAGGAGCAGAGTTTTTCAGTGTCATTTTAACAACCAGTAAATCTGACAGCATGATTTTATGTTATTAGGTCTAGATGAGCGAGAGAAGGGTGGGAGGAGGAAGCAACAAATGTCCCAGCTTTTTAAGAGCTAAAAATATTGCAGGATAAATACAGAACCGTAAGTAATACTTAAGAAGCAGTTTGACAGCATAGTGATACATTTTTATAACAAATTGTTCACGGAGGGAGCTTGACATTCCCAACCCCCAATATTCCCTTCGCCTGCAACAAGCAGTTAGAAAACCCGCGCGGGCAGTCACCTGCCATGCCCTCCCTTCAGAAGGATGCCACCTCCGTTCGGCCAGCTGCCCCTGCCCTGCTGCTGAGGGCTCCGCGGTTACGGCAGGCACCGCTCCTGCGGCCGAGCTGCCTGCAACTCTGAAGTGTTGTTTAATTTTGTAATACTATTAAGATCTCTAAAGCGTTTTGTGATGCGCTGGAATGAACGATGCTCCATAAAACGAAGTTTATTATTAGTAGGCTCATAGCTCCCGGGCCCAAAATAAAGCCAAAGTATAACCACAGAGACTTCAAAGGGAAGATCGGAAGCCACTGGCGTCTCCAACGCTGCCAAGCGCGCAGGGGCTGGGCGGGGGCGCGGGGAGGGGGTCCTGCCCCGCGCCCNACCAGGGACCCGGCCTCTTCCGCCACAGCTCCCCGCCCCGCTTCCTCGGGGTCGAGGTCGGCCCTGGCTCCTCTGCATCTCTCCCCGCCCTCAGGCAGCCTCGCTCCGGCCCCAGCCTCCCCGCCTGCTTCCGAATTCCTCCACCGGTGCCTCAGTTTCCTCCAAATACCTTTCTTCCCGTTTCCCACCTGGACTTTTTTTTTTTTAACCCAGGACAAAGCTGGCTCCCCCGCGACACTCAGGTCGGGGGGCTGTCTCCCGTCACGCAGCTTCCCGGTCCAGAA